GGGGGCAGGCCCAGCCACTCACTGACTAGTGCCATTCCCTGATTGGCCTGTGGGTCGCCTCCTGCAGAGGGAGGCCAGACAGCGGCTTAGTCCTGTCAGTCGGACATCCAACAAGGGCTCCTAGTCTGCAAAAGGGCACAGGCTGGCACCCCCCCGCCCAGTGTACGAATTTTCATGCACCAGGCCTCTAGTTTTATTATAAAAATTCTGTATACTTACGGTAGAAATTTGTAAAGTACATATAAAGAAGCAGAAAAGAAATCACTCATCCTATCATATAGAACTATTGTCGTGTTGTCATTAGAATGGATTTATTTTTAGTATAAATAATTTTTACTACATATTAAGGTTTTGTTTCTTTGTTTACTGTAAAAATAACTGAGAACTTAGCATTAGAAAGTTATTTTCTTGGCCAAAAGCTACCTATTTTAAACTTTACTTTCTTTATAAAACCTTTTCATTGATTTTTTTATTAGAACATAAATTGTTTCTGACCCCTCTCCATAGTGACATGAGACTCCATTTTAACTATCCTATATAATAAAAGGCTAATATGCAAATTGACCAAACAGCAGAATGACCAATCACTATGAGGCGCACTGACCACTAGGGGCAGACTTTCAATGCAGGAGCTGCCCCCTGGTGGTCAGTGCACTCCCACAGGAGGAGCGCCTCTCAGCCAGAAGCCAGGCTCACAGCTGGTGAGTGCAGCAGTGGTGGTGGGAGCCTCTCCTGCCTCCGCTGCAGGTTAGCAGTAAGGAGCGAGGGGTCCCGGACTGTGAGAGCCCCAGACCGTGAGAGGGCACAGGCTGGGCTGAGGGACTCTCCCCCCACCAGTGCATGATTTTCATGCACCGGGACTCTAATTTAGATATAAAGCCCTAAGTCGTTAGTCATTAGTCGTTAGTCATAACCTTTGTTATCTATTAAGGATCTCACCATGAAGTGTAATGAAGATGAAAAATCTCTCAGTCCTGAGGCCTTTTCCAAGGTGTCCTTGACCAATCTGCGTAGGTCTGCAGTCCCAGATCTTTCTTCTGACCTTGGCATGAACATTTTTAAGAAGGTGAGTAGAGCCACTTACCCTATTGATATTTTGGTAATAAAAAAATTCATTAGGTGCTTCTAACCATGCTGCTGTATGGGTGGGGTGGGAAAGGACCCCGGGGAACGAAAGTCATCTCCCAGTTTAATCGGTTAACTGCCATGCATCCAAAATGGAAACCATCCCCACACGCCACAATATTTTGAATTTAATTTAAAAACTCATCTGACTCTGGAGTTGAATAAAGGATGCCATCTTCTTCTTGCGAGGTGCTTGGTTCAATTACTTCTTTATCTGATGCCATTTATGGGGATTGAATTTTATTTGCACAATATATTACAATGATAAATTCAACAATAGAATAATGATAATTTTCAATTCTACAGAAATATCAAAAGCGAGCACGAAAAAAATAAACCGAGCACGAAATAAAAATAAACAGTCGACACAAAAAGCCCCCAAAACACTAAATTTTGTTAATGCGCCAAAGACGAAATCTGTAAATAAATGAAGAATACACACCATGTTTACCATTTTAGGCGTGAAATTCATGATAACACAAACAAATCTCAAGTGTTGCAGTGTTTATCTCTCGCGCATCTGAGTGGCAGCCCTATATATCGATACTGGAATTTCTTCCATATGCGCTGGAATATTTACGAATTTAAGTTACCGTGATTTTCTTTACAAACCCAGAGATGTCACTGACAAGTCTAATTTTAAAACTGGGTGACCAGAGTTGATAAGCGAGGTTTGCGGCTCTACGAGTAGATGCATGTGGCGTGTGGGGAAGGTCCGCCGCTTGTGTCTATAGATGCTTATGGCAAACAAAGGGTTAACACTGGCTTGCAGCATCACCTCTGTGTGCACGCTGATGTGGCTGGTCCAGGGACCACACTTGGAGAAAAACTTTTCTAATCGACCCAGCAAAAACCCCAGGGAACATGCTTCCTTTTTCATTCCTTTCCCTCTTTAAAACACATGTGAACATTTCTCCCATCTCTATCCCATGATATTCGGTGACTCTCTGGGTCTCCTCTTCCTGCAGCATTTGCTACATTTTAGGGCAGGTCATGGAGCCTTTTGGGGAGCAAACTGGAAGCTCTCCTTTGCCCGGAGCCTAACCCTTCACCTCTCACCCTCGTAGTTCAAGAGTCGCAAAGAAGACCGGGAGAGGAAGGGCTCCATCCCCTTGCACCACCCGGGGAAGAGGAGGCCGCGGAGAATGGGCGTGCCCTTCCTGCTTCACGAGGACCACCTGGACGTGTCCCCCACCCGCAGCACCTTCTCCTTCGGAAGCTTCTCTGCGCTGGGAGAAGACCGGCGAGGCATTGAGAAAGGCGGCTGGCAGACCACCATCCTAGGTGACCGCAGGACCTCCCAGAGTAGGGCCGAGCTTGAGTAACCCATTTAGGAATCTGGATCTAGGTCTCTGGGGCAAATGTGGGTCTTCCTGGAACAGATTAGTCAAGAAATTTGGGCCCAAATGTGAGTACCCTGTACAAAATAATGCTGCGTCCCCACAGCCAAAGAAGTGTAGATAATTGAATTAATTATTCAAGAATCTTCTGTAATGAGACAGGTAATGGCCCCATTTCTTAAATATTCTAAACATGGAAACATGGCCTTCGAGGGGCCTGTGCATTCGTGTTCCTTGTGAATCCAAAGACAGACTTTAATGTGACTGCTAAAAAGGAAAGAGTAAAGAAAAGAAACATTTTTCTTTCTGGCTGGCATGTTAAGAAGGCCAGCTTAAAGTTAAGAGCTGACAGCTACCTGGGGCCCAGCAGATGGTGCCTGACATTTGGCTTAGGTCGGGGCTGACCTTGTCACAGGCAGCATCATCAATCACCTTGACTCTGTCCGTTCCCAAGGCAAGTTCAAGTCCTGCTGTTTGACTGCGCCTTACGTGCTTCCTAATACCCCCTCACTCTCAAGACTGTCCTTTCAAAAGACAAAATCTCAGCGAGTGTCTTGCAGTTTTGAAAACCCTCTTGTGATATTCTTGTCCATCTCAGGGAAGTTTACCCGGCGGGGCAGTTCTGACGCAGCCACGGAGATGGAGAGCTTGAGCGCCAAGCACTCCCACTCTCATCACACCCTGGTGAGTGACCTGCCGGACCACTCCAACAGCCACGGAGAGAACACCTTCAGGGAAGGTGGGTCGGAGGCTGCGCCCGCAGGCGGGAGTTCAGGTTCCTTTTCCTGCTTCCTGTTTTTACTCCGTGTTCCATTTCATTATACTCTGGCTCCTTGTGCTTTCTGAAAATGCGCATCCATGTAGAATATTGCTTGGTAATTTACTTGTGAGCCATTATCAAAATTTCCTTAGTGGCAAGGGCTACTGGACAGCACACTAGAAACCCCATATGTCTCAGAAGGAAAGCAAGGGCAGGCCATTCATCTTTTGTTTTCAACGATCATGGACCCACAGGGCTAGATGAGACTTGGAGGACAGTTAGATACGGGACTTCATTCCCCTCTATGATGTCCCTCTGAAGGGTTAGGCACCTTCAGCAGCAGGGTAGTCACTGCCTTCTGAAGTCACCAGTACCTTTTTCAGACAGCTTCCACTTCAGATAAATGCATTATGTGCTTTATATGAGCAAACGTGTCTGTGGGTGAAATTCGAGATGGGTTCTTATTCTGTGCTCTCAACCTATGAGCATAAATTAATCCCTCTTTTCTCTAGATTGCACTTCAAGTATTTGATGACACCGATTTTTAAAAAAATATATTTGTATTGACTTCAGAGAGGAAGGGGGAGGTAGAGAGAGATAGAAATATTAATGATGAGAGAAAATCATTGATTGGCTGCCTCTTGCATGCCCCCTACTGGGGATCAAGCCTGCAACCCGGGCATATGTCCTTAACTGGAATCGAACCCAGGATCCTTCAGTCCGCAGGCCGACGCTCTATACACTGAGCCAACCCAGCTAGGGCTGATGATATCTATTAGTGACCATCACAGATTTATGTCCCATTTCTCTAAAGAAAAGGAGAAAAAAAAATCCTTGTTTGTTGTTGCTCAACTATACTAGATAAAACCAAATATTTAAACAGCTACAAAGTAGGGAAATACTCCAAGTAAACTTGTTTAACTATAGTAATAGGGTCCATCATTTCATAGTGGGTAAAATCCACCTTCTATCTAGACAAAAGTTAAATTCTAGCCCGGGTTTTAAGAAAGCTAGCTGGAATTCACATTTTTCTATAACCTTCATTATTTATCAGCTATTCATGACATAGCCTTAATACCTGCAGCATTCTGTGGGAGTTGAGAATAGCTCTTTGACTATAAGTGAAACATCTGTAAAAGCTACAGCTGTGATTGTGGTCATATTTCAGATAATAGTGTATGTGTCTAATGTGATGTCCCAGGTTAATATGGAGAAAACTAAGACATTGCTTTCCTTTTATTAGTGAGATCCCAGATCTCCACGATCACAGTTGCAACCTTCAATACCACATTGGCGTCATTCAACGTAGGCTACGCAGACTTCTTCAATGAGCATATGAGGAAGCTCTGCAACCAGGTGCCTATCCCAGAGATAACGCATGAGCCCCTGGCCTGTGCGAACCTGCCACGAAGCCTCACGGACTCCTGTATAAACTACAGCTACTTGGAGGACACAGAGCATATTGATGGGACCAATAACTTTGTTCACAAAAATGGCATGCTTGACCTTTCTGTAAGGACCACGGATTTTTCTTACTGAAGCTTGAAAGATACTGATTCTTTGGTTCAGTTTTTACTATGTTGTGTAAAGTGGGCATAGGAAGTCTTAGAAATGTTGAATCTTCAAATGAAAAAAAAATCCATATGAAAAATTTCATAAATGTGTTAACCCTCTTAGCTACACCTTCCCCCTTTATTTTCAAGAATTACTTTACATTTGACCTCCTCTCAGAATATTTCTAACCCAAAAGCATTAGTGAATCCTGAATACTCATATATAAATATGCATAAATGTGAGTGTGTTTGCTAAGTCCCTTTTTTCCAGAACGAGAGTAAGAAATTCTCAGTTTCTTTTCTTTTCTTATAAAAATAACATGACTATAAACCTCCTGTGTAGCAGGGGAAAATGAACAGAAGTCCAATAAAATATTTAAACTTGCATTCTTAAGGATGCCTGTCTTGATTATAGTTATTAGCACAATGGGAGGGTTGTTATATTTTACAATTATATTTCACAAAACTTTTTATTTCACGTTAGGGAACTGGATCAGCAAATAATTTAAAACATTAAAATAAAAAGACATAATTTAAAAAGGCAAACATTTTGTATTTAAAATTGAAATGTAAATAATGATACAATTGTGAATGTGCAAATGTTCCTCTATTATGTGCATAAGGAAGTCATTTTTTCTTTATCCATTATTGGTGGAGAGTGAAAGGCAGAGAATTAAAATATGTTGATTTAAAAAGAAATTGAACAAGTTTCCTTTTGGACAAATGTTCTTCCATTAATTCATTATACTTCACTATCCCCATTAACTGTCTATATCATGGCAAGTTTGGGAATATATGCATTTTTAATTCATTGAGTGTTTTGTACTCTATATTAAGCACATAAACAAGGTTCCAAACCAACTTAGAAATATCTGAAAATTATCTGAATTAATTATACCCAAATGCATAGAACATCCTAAAAGAAACCGATTAAACAGAATAACTGAATCTTTATAGGAAGAGATAATCCAAGTAATTTAATCAGCCTCTGTTTATTTTTGTCTTTCCCCAGGTGGTTCTGAAGGCTGTTTATCTTGTCCTTAACCATGACATCAGTTCTCGAATCTGTGATGTGGCACTAAACATTGTTGAATGCTTGCTTCAACTTGGTGTGGTGCCCTGTATAGAAAAGAACAGAAAGAAGAGTGAAAATAAGGAAAATGAGACTGTGGAAAAAAGACCAAGTGAGGGAACTTTCCAGTTCAAAGGAGTATCTGGAAGTTCCTGTGGATTTGGGGGCCCTTCAGTTAGTGGAGCTGGAGATGGTGGAGGAGAAGAAGGAGGAGGTGGAGATGGAGGAGGTGGAGGAGGCGATGGAGGAGGAGGTGGAGGAGGTGGAGGTGGCCCTTATGAGAAGAATGATAAGAACCAAGATAAGGTATGACTGAACTACCTTCTGTGTCCTGAGGAATGTTTCCCCTCACTACTTTCCAGTGTGTGTTTCTCAGCAATTTGTTGACTCAGAACAACACCTAATACCTAGAGCAAGAGACTGTTAAATCTAGAAATCTCTTCATTAGGTCTTCAGCAGGCATCAGTGGAAAGAGATAAAACTGTATTCTAAATTCAAGAACCATTGCCATCCAAGCAATGTTAGACCTAATTTCCTGGTCATGTTATTTCTGCAAAAGAACATCTCAGATACACTATCTGACCACAATTTCAGTCTGCCACCAAGAATGGCCTCTTTCTCAAGACCCTCAGGGTCTGACCTAGTTGAGCATTGTTCTAGTCCAGTGGTCGGCAAACTTATTAGTCAACAGAGCCAAATATCAACAGTACAACGATTGAAATTTCTTTTGAGAGCCAAATATTTTGCACTTAAATTATATAGGTAGGTACATTGTTATTCACTTAATTAGGGTCCTCCTACGGCTTAGGAAGAGCCACACTCAAGGGGCCAAAGAGCCGCATGTGGCTCGTGAGCCGCAGTTTGCCGACCACTGCTCTAGTCTCCTCAGGCTACCATAATATCATAGATTAGGTGGTTTAAGCAACAGAAATTTATTTTTCACAGTTCTGGAGATTGGGAAGTCCAAGATTAAGGTGCAAGCAAGGTGTTCCATTCTGAGGCCTCTTCTCTTGGTTTGTAGATGACCACCCTCTTGCTGTGTGCTCACATGTCCTATATTTAATGCGTGCGCATTAAAAATAATATTTTTCTCCATCTCTTTCCAGTCCCACTGGGTGTATGTTTAATGTGTAGTTGTCATCTGTGTTTCTTCATCTATTATTTCATCTATTATTTACTCCTAACTTCCCAATATTCTTGGACTGTGATCCAAATATTCCTTCCCCAATATTCTTGGGTTCCTGAACCTTTTCTTCAGGGTTTTCTTCTCCTGATATACATAATGTTTTCGAATTCTAATAGTATGTTCTGATACTTAAGGTTTTCAGCTTCTTAGCTCTTCATACATCACTGATGACTATCCAAGAATCCTCAGAGCTTACTTTAGGTAAAAATTATCTAAAGGATGGTACAGCTCACAAGGGATTTTATCTTGGACTCTGAAACCTAAGGTATCATTCAGTCAGCAGTTATGTAAGAATTAGCAACCAAATACAATCTGTAAGGACCAAATTTATAAACACAGCAAACAGTGAGATTCTTAATGAAGTTCCATTTTTTTAACCTATCAATTTAGGCTGGTCACTAAAAGAGATAATAGATGGTGGTGTGTCCATTACAGTATTCAAGGGAAAAAGAAGAAAAAAATAGAAGTTAAAAGAGACAAAAGTTTTCATAAGCTTTTATCTGTAAAATGTAGATATTTCAACTAAATTGATGAGGGTTTTGCTATATAGCCTAAGAATCTCTGAGGTTCATTAATAGTATTATGTTTTTGTTTTTAGTTCTGATTTTTATCCAATTAATATTTTCATCTAATTTTTTATTTTTTTAATCCTCACCTGAGGATATTTTCCACTGAAAGAGTGGAAGAGAGAGGGAAAGACAGAGATAAATATCAGTGTGAGAGAAACTTATCAATTGGTTGCCTCCTGTACAAACCCTGACCAGGGCCTGGGCTGGGGAGGAGCCTGAAACCCAGGTACATGCTCTTGACCGGAATCAAACCCAGGACCCTTCAGTCCACAGGCTGACATTCTATCCACTGAGCCAAACAAGCTAGGGCTAATTTCTTATTGAAGACCTACAGTTCTCTGTCTTATTTAAAATCTAGATATTATACTAGATACTTGATAATATAAGTGTTACTTTGATTAGTATGGAAATTTTTAAAGTCAGATTAAGTGGTTTCAAAAACAGACACCAAGATATAAATGTTTTATACTTAGTTCTGCAAAATAGTATTCTTTGTAGTACAAAGAATTTATAAAATTTATAAAATAAAATATGACTGTAGGTCAAGTTCATTGGGCTTGTGCGTCACACAGGTCTGTTCTTTCCCAAACCCATCTGTTACTTTCAATGACATCAGAGGGTTTATCTAATTTTGCAACCTGGTAAATACCAGAAACAAGGGGAATTTATTATATTCAGAAAGGAAGATCTAATTT